ACGTGCAAAGGAAGTGATAGGATGGATAATGAGAACATTCAAAACGAGAGATGCCAAGCCAATGATGATCCTTTTCAAATCACTTGTTCTCTCTAGGCTGGAATACTGCTGTACATTAACATCTCCATTCAAAGCAGGTGAAATCGCAGATCTAGAGTGTGTACAGAGATCCTTTACTGCACATATAAGTTCTGTCAAGCACCTCAACTACTGGGAACGCTTGGAAGCACTCGACTTGTACTTGTTGGAACGCAGGAGGGAGAGATATATCATAATCTACACTTGGAAAATCTTGGAAGGAATGGTCCCAAATCTGCACACAGAAATCACTCCCTATGAAAGTAAAAGACTGGGCAGGCGATGCAAAATGCCCCCAATAAAAAGTAGGGGCGCCACTGGTACACTAAGGGAAAACATCATAAGTGTCCGGGGCCCAAGACTGTTCAACAGCCTCCCATCAAGCATTAGGGGAATTGCCAATAAACCCCTGACTGCCTTCAAGAGAGAGCTGGACAGATACCTAAAGTCAGTGCCGGATCAGCCGGGCTGTGGCTCGTACGTTGGACTGCATGCAGCCAGCAGTAACAGCCTGGTTGATCAGGCCCTGATCCATCGGGAGGCCTGGTCATGGACCAGGCTGCGGGGGCGTTGATCCCCGGAATGACCTCCAGGTAACCTCCAGGTAACCTGATATCCAATCTTTCATTACCTAATTATAAATGCAGTTACTGTGTTGCATACAGTACAATATATACATTGTGCATTATAATGGTCTCACAGGCCACAGAAGTTAGTGGAAAAAATCATTAGAAAAGAAAAACATACAAAAAAAAAAAAAAAAACTAATATGGAGCATGCAGCAGCTGATGTTACCATCAGCCTTTATCTTGGTAAGTATGGATGGGAAAATTGTTTTATTACAAAAAAAAAAAAAAACATTCTCTAAAGATTTTTTTTTTTAATTCTTGGACCCTGAGAGCAATTTTGATATCAGGGGTCTAGACTCTGAAAGAGTTAATACTGTGGCTGGAACAATTCACCTGCACTCAGAAGAGGAAGTAAGTTACTGACTTTTTTTGGGGTTATCCTGGAGGGTGATCTACACACAACCTATGTATGATAATTTATGTAACTATTTATGTGTACTTGTACCTGAATAAACTTACCAACATAATGACAGTCCACACTGGACCACTGTCAAATTGTCATCCGACCACTGCGAGGCAAAATTATAATGACCTACAGCGGACCAAAGGGTTGAGAGGTTCCTCTATCAAGTGCACGTTTTTTGATGAAGGTAATAATGAGTAATTGCTGGGCTAAGTGAGAGCCTAATTCAGGTAGGAAGCTAAAACAGTAATCATCTCACTGATGGGACTTGACACACGTTACTTGGTATGATAATTATACTTGTGTACCTGAAGTTAATTATACATGCTTATGTACCGTTACCTACTTATTAAGTTTATTCAGGTACGGGTACACAAATATACAGTTAAGATAAGAAATAGGATTTCGTTCGGATTTTTAACCCCGGAGGGTTAGCCACCCAGGATAACCCAAGAAAGTCAGTGCGTCATCGAGGACTGTCTAACTTATTTCCATTGGGTCCTTAATCTTGTCCCCAGGATGCGACCCACACCAGTCGACTAACACCCAGGTACCTATTTGCTGCTAGGTGAACAGGACAACAGGTGTAAGGAAACGTGTCGAAATGTTTCCACCCGCCGGGAATCGAACCCGGACCCTCCGTGTGAAGCGGGAGCTTTAGCCACCAGGCACCGGTTGGCCTGTCTGTGTACCTATATTCAAAAAACTATTTAATTTACATTTGTTTACAGATTTATTATTGTAAATATACACAGCTTTTATACAAATTTAAAAAAATTACAACTTTGCATAGTCATCAAGTCATTAAAGTGAACTATTATGATTGACACTAAAATGTTCAGAAAATTCCTCAAAATCATAAGGGACTTTTTAAAAGATTTTTCAGCTGGGTATATTACAAAAGGTAGCAGCAAGTTCGATAAACCATGACGGGTATAAGAACACTCAGTGAGGTAAATATATGGAAGGTTGTGCTAGTTGTTTGTTTACATCATACTAGAATGGAGTATCATACCTCTTTTTTCTCCTCCTCACACTCTGCTGGCTTCTCCTCCACCTTCTCCAGGACAGCGCCTTGTTCAGTGTCAGACATAGTGGTGAGGAGCAGTGGGAAGACTGGTGGCAGCGAGGATAATGAAATAAGTTACAATAAGAGTGATGACTGCTGTGTCTTGCTCCTCTGCCATCAACCACAACCATAATGTACACATGTTGTAACCTCGCTGTCTACTCTTTATTATACTAACTACCACGGAATTCATACTATAATATTTTTATAATTATTATTTGAAGCGTAATTTACTTGAAAGATATTAATAACTCAAAAATATATATATGATTCGTTACCGATGAAATTATTTTATTTTATTTTATTGTATGTCTGTAGTATCTGGATTAAATGCTATTAGAATATAATGATAATTATTATCTTATGCGCTGTTCTTCATTGCATTATATCATTTAAAATAAAAATGCGTTGTAACTGATCAATACCATACATTGGAAATTGTAGCATTTCATTTATTTTTACGTCTATCATATTATCATTCTTAAAGAAACTGTCAATTTCTTCAGTTTTTAAATTGAATTTTATTTGATTCATCTGATGTCTATTTCAATTTTATATCTCCCTAAATATATACAAAAAAAAAATATACATACAATGCATCACAAAGTTCAAAAAAAATCTAAAAAAATTTTTTCTGAGAAAGAATCGTTGAATATGTACAAATTTAGATAACGAAAAATACATAAAATATATTCAATAACTTTATATTAAAAGTTTTTTTTTTTAAAACATTTGCAGACAAAAATTTTTCCTCAAGAACGTCAGGGAGATGGCTGGCCGGGCCCAATTTTTTGGTAAAATTTTTTCCCCCCAGTCTCCCCATTTATTTTTAATTTAAAAATGAAATGAAAGTGTGGTGGTCATGCTTTATCATTTATTATTTTATTTTGATGGGGGGGCGCTAACCCCGAAAAGGGTGTTACAGCGCCCGGGGGGGGGTGGGTGGGGGACACTCGGTTTATCCGAGGGGACGATAATTTCTTTATTTTCTACATTACAAAAGGAACCGTCAACGACATCAGGCCCCCTATATGAAAACCCTTTGTTAGCAGAGCATTTCCTTAAAAATTTGGGCAATTTTTCCCCATCGACCCCCAACCCCCCCCCCCCCCCCCCCCCCCCCCCCCCCCCCCCCCCCCCCCCCCCCTAACCCCCCCCCCCCCCCCCCCCCCCCCCCCCCCCCCCCCCCCCCCCCCCCCCCCCCCCCCCCCCCCCCCCCCCCCCCCCCCCCCCCCCCCCCCCCCCCCCCCCCCCCCCACCCCCAGATGCGCCCCCCCAGTCCACTAACACCCCGGATCGACCCACCCGTCCACTAAAACCCCCCCCACCCCAATCAAAACCCCCCACAAAAACCAGTCGCCCTAACACCCCCGGATCGCCCCCCACCAGTCCCCTAACACCCGGATCGACCCACACCAGCCCCTAACACCCCGGGGGAAAACCCCCCGGATTTTTCTGATGGGGAAAAAATAGAAAAACCGGTCAGGAAAAAACCCCCATGTTTGACCCTCGCTGGGAATCGAACCCAGACACTCGCATGTAAAACGAAGGGGTTTTTGCCACCAGGGCCCCCGGGGGGCCCGTGGATCAAGAGCCTTCACCATCATCAAAATAGAAAATAATGTAATGTTGGTAGGAAGTTGCGAGTTTCTTCACTAGTTTTCTTTATGATTTGAGTGCGTCATAAAATTTAATATAGTAATTAATAATAATATAATTGTAATAAAAATATGATAAAAATTAACTTTTTCAATTCATTTGCAATTATGTTTTTTTAGGTTCATACTTTGTTTTTAATTTTGGTTTTAAAATTGAATTTTCCCCCACCAGGCCCCAGTGGGCCCGTGGCCCGGTGGCAAAAACTTTTGTTTCCCCTGGTGAGGATCTGGATTCGATTCCCAGTGAGGGTTGAAACATTGGGTGTGTTTCCTTACACCAGTTGTCTGTGTTCACCCTTCAGTATAAAATGGGCACCTGGGTGTTAGTTGACTGGTGTGGGTCGCATCCTGGGACAAAATTTACCTAATTTGCCTGAAATGCTCTGCATAACAGAGAGATACATGATTATATACACCTGGAAAATCCTAGAGGGACTAGTACCGAACTTGCACACGAAAATCACTCACTACGAAAGCAAAAGACTTGGCAGACGATGCAACATCCCCCCAATGAAAAGCAGGGGTGTCACTAGCACGTTAAGAGACCATACAATAAGTGTCAGGGGCCCGAGACTGTTCAGCTGCCTCCCAGCATAAGGGGGATTACCAACAGACCCCTGGCAGTCTTCAAGCTGGCACTGGACAAGCACCTAAAGTCGGTTCCTGACCAGCCGGGCTGTGGCTCGTACGTTGGTTTGCGTGCAGCCAGCAGCAACAGCCTGGTTGATCAGGCTCTGATCCACCAGGAGGCCTGGTCACAGACCGGACCGCAGGGGCGTTGACCCCGGTACTCTCTCCAGGTAAACTCCAGGTAATAACAAGCGGCTTTCTATATAGTAGTATGTCATTGATGTCAGCTATGGTCTGTATACCTTGTACATGTACTTGTAGAAATAAAGATATTGTTATTATTATTATTACATCTCCTTGCCCAGGATTTGATGCTGGTCTTTTAGGCTGTGAGCAAACGCTTTACCACAGGACTATACGTATTTGGATTTTCCTCTGTTAACCTGCTAATATTAGGGATGGGATTATTAAGCTAACATAACCAGAGGAAAACAGAATACCAGTTGCATATGACACATTAAAATATTATCATATAACAGTAGTTATTAAACTGTGCTAATTATGAACTATGCAAAATATTACTTTTCTCAGATCAGTGGTGCACGATTGGCTGGGGTTCGACACTACAGCAGTGATGCACGCACTGTCACCTTAATACCTGGAGATGGCATTGGACCAGAAATCTCGGCAGCTGTACAAAAAATTTTCTCTGCTGCAGAGGTTAGTAAGTCTTGAGTCATTTTTTTAATTAAGAGAGTAAAGATCAGCCATTATCTCGTACCATTAACAACTGTATGTATTGTAGGTACCTATTAGGGAAGATGTTGGTATACTGTAAGTGAGCATGATCAAGCTAATGGCAGAATGTTGATATGGTACTCCCTTCATTCAAAGGATTATTTTGATATACATACGTACTGCACTAAAAAAAAAAAAAAAAAAAAAAAGATATTGTAGTGAGTATAAAAAATTGTGCATTTTTTATGTTCAATCATAGTTTTATAAGTTATGACAAATGATAATTAAGATGTGTACATAATACAGTATGTATTGTATTTTTTATGATAAGTATTTTACTTCTAGAATAATGCTTTTGTGTATCTGAGTTGTTGCAAATTATTTGGTTTATACAGTACCTGTATCGTGTTTTTGTGTAGTTTGCATATTATACTTAAACTAATAAGTGAATAATGTAAACTGGGTTAAAATTGGTTCAGCCATCACCAGACCTTTTCTATACTGGGTTTATTTAGCGTATATTTGTTTGCTTGTACTCATTATAAAGGAAATGGGAACTGTAAATGGTCCAGTTTGGTAATGAAAAATTACTGAAGAAAATGATGTACAGGTACCATCCGATTTACGACCAAGATTGGTACCAACCAACTGGTCGAAAGTCAAAATGGACATAAGTCGAATCTTACTACTGAATATCAACATCACATTTTTTTAATGATTTTATTTTGTTTCATTTTAGTATTTCATTTATTACTTTACTTTTTATGCTGTTAGTACTGTATTTTATACTGTAAGGTTTAGGATAAACACTCTGTACAACACAAACAGTTGTTTATTTCCCCAAAAATTTGGCATACAAAACATGGTCGTAAGCCGAGTGGTTGTATGTCGAGCAGGTCGTAAGTCGGATGGTAGATGTACAGTATTATTACATGTTGACTATTTTCAGGTTCCAATTGTCTGGGAAGAAGTTGATGTAACACCAGTGAAGGGCCCTGATGGCAAGTTTGGGATACCTCCGGCAGCCATTGATTCAGTTAATCGAAATGGAATTGGGTTGAAAGGCCCTTTAATGACTCCAGTTGGCAAGGGTCATCGCTCCCTGAATTTGGCTATTCGTAAAGAATTTAATCTTTATGCTAATGTACGTCCATGCCGGAGCATGGAGGGATATGAGACACTCTATAGAGATGTGGATGTGGTGACCATCCGTGAAAATACTGAAGGAGAATACTCAGGTATTGAGCATGAAATTGTAGATGGTGTAGTGCAAAGTATCAAGTTGATCACAGAACCAGCTTCTCGTCGTGTAGCAGAGTATGCCTTTCAGTATGCCCGTAATAATGGAAGGTAAGCTTATTTCACCAACATAAGAGGTAGGAATGTCTGCGTCACTTGGCATTTTTTGTTTGTCAAAAATTTAACGTTTAGTTTTGTTCTCGTCATTCTAAGCACTAGGCCAATACAATGGCATATCTATTATTACTTTATTTGTGAAATAATGTGATTCCCAGGAAGTCTTTTAAGAAAAAAATTTTTTTTTTTTTTTTTTTTCCCCAAAACATTGTTCCTAAAGAAAATTGAAGTATGGAGGGAATGATTTTAGCATGCTTCCTTTTTTCATTCATTTTTTAAATGCCAAAAAAAATTTTCGGGCTAAATAACAGCAGCCCAAAAAAGAAAAATTAGCGAATTCAATACTTTTTGCTTTTCCAACAAAAAAACCCTTTACTCTTTTCAAAAAAATATTTATACAACCTAAATTTTACAAAACCATCAAATTGATTTTTTACCAAATTTTTATGGGGATATTCTTTCTACCTTTTCTGGATTAATCTTATTCTAACCTCGGGGTACCCCCCGGGGGGGCGGTTTTGGGGGGGGGTTCAGGCCCCCCCCAGCCCCCCCTGATATTGCAGGTCGGGACAAAGAAAAAATCCAAAACAGCCTTTTGTTATCTGCAGTAATATGCTTCGGTTTATGAATTGTATAATCATGCTAAAAAAATTGAACAACTTTTTTTGAAACCATCAAAAAAGGAAAATTTTCGAACCGGTGATTAGGGGCAAAGCAAAGTGTTCAGAATTTACAGATGTTTTGTCAAAATTCAGGAAAGGGAAGGGGAAAGGCTTTTTTTTTGCATTAATGATTTGCAGCAAAATTACAAATTAAATGACAACTAGCACAAAAATTTTGACTACCTAATAAAAACCCCGTTATAGTTCTGAATTTTTGAATACTATATAAAATGGTGGGTAAAATTTAATTGTATTTCACTCCCCTTTCTTATAGATTAATTTTGGCTCGTGAAACCAGTCCCGTGATCTCTCAAGGAGGCTAAAACGCTTTGTTAAATTTGTATTTTTTTGGTTTTGAAATTTGTTATACATATAAGGGGTTTAACTTTTAAAAAATGTCCAAACGTAATTACGTTCACATGCGTAGTCCCTGACCTTTATTTTTTTTTTGAAAGCATGTAAAAAAAACAAAAATTTAAAATTTTTTCGGGCCTACGAGTTTCAGCGTGATTATTTTTGGAAGTTTAAAAAGGGGGAAAAAAAAAGTAACCCATTTGCTCTTTTTAAAATAAAATGCTGGGAAAAGTTCCATTTCATTTACATAAATGAACTCAAAAATTTGGGCCAAAATCCTTTCTTCGTAAGAATTTTCCCAAGAATAAAGGGTTGAATTTTGGGGTACTGTATAAAGTAATTACATTTTTTTAGGGGTGATACTTGCTAATTAGTTAAGCCTATCAAAATACCTCACTTTGCTGTGGGGCCCGGTCAGGAATAAATACGATAAACAAAGTTCTAATTGATGCATGTTTGTAAACGGGCTGCATAAGAATTTTAAGTATATACCTGTACTTTTAATTTGTGTATCACATGACAGAAAAAAGCAAAAAAAAAAAAGTTTTTCCCATTTTATTTCTTACCACGCATTCTAAATTTAAGTTTTGAGCCAATAAATAAAATAACTAGATGTACGTATGGAGTTTGTGCAGTCGCTAGCAACGGCTTCCATGGTTTGAACCCTACCCCGTCCAGGTTTTGTTGATATTTATGATTTTTTCAAATTGTCATGTTGGGTTTTCATAAACCCCTTTCAAAGACCAATAGAGCCTAAAGAATGTAATCATGTAAAGTGTTAAACCCAAAGATCGTGTAGACTACCCATACAAGATGAGGGAAAAAAAAAGGAGAGGGAGGAAAGTGGAAAATTCAACAAAAACAAAAAATGAGGAGGAGGAAAAAATTTAAAATACAGAATGAGCAAGACTGAAAATTTGTGACCCCAAACATTTTTTTTTTAAAACACCCCTGTCTCAACTGAGGTTGCAACCAGAAAAAAAAAGAAACTCCCACCACTCAAGTCTTCCGAGGTGCGCTGACATTAACTCAGATGCCCCTCCCCAAAAACTGCAATTCCCCACCCTCCCGAGTTCAGGCACTACTTTCCTGGAAAAAAGCCTTTATGAAAAGATCTTTATCCAAGGGAAATTGAATACCCTCTCCTTGGACAAAAACCAAGTACTTACCTTTCCCTCTAATTGTAATATAGTAAAACATTCTTTTTCCCTTTTAAAGGGGAAATTTTGGTGTAAAAATTATGAGAAAATTTGGGTGTGGAAAATTTGGGAAAGGGGTGGGGTTAATAAAAGTATTAGTCAGAGGGCTGAAGAGGGGTTGTGATGAATGGTTTTGAAAACCGACAAGTTGAAGAATTGAGACATTTGTGCAACACATAGGAATCTTTATTGAAGAAATGTTTTGCCATCCATCACTCTTGTAGGAAGTCAAGAGTGATGGACTGAACACATAGATTCCAGGTTGAGGGACTGATTACCTCAAACTACTCCTCTCCTTACCCATTTCTACTTTGTATTGGACTGATAAAGCCACTGTGGGGCAAAATGTTTCTTCAATAAAGATTCCTGTGTGTTGCGTATGTGTCTCAATTCCTGAAGAGGGGTTGTTGAGGTGATTTGGTCATTTAGAGAGAATGGATCAAAGTAGAATGACATGGAGAGCGTATAAATCTGTAGGGGAAGGAAGGCGGGGTAGGGGTCATCCTCGAAAAGGTTGGAGGGAGGGAGTAAAGGAGGTTTTGTGGGCGAGGGACTTGGACTTCCAGCAAGCGTGCACGAGCGTGTTAGGCAGGAGTGAATGGAGACGAATGGTATTTGGAACCTGACGAGCTGTTGGAGTGTGAGCAGGGTAATATTTAGTGAAGGGCTTCAGGGAAAGCAGTTATTTTATATAACTGGACTCGAGTCCTGGAAATGGGAAGTACAATGCCTGCACTCTTAAAGGAGGGGTTTGAGATATTGGCAGTTTGAAGGGATATGTTGTGTATTTTTATACGTACATGGATTTATGAAGGACGAGGTTAATCATAGAATTGATGAAGGAAAAAAGGTGAGTGGTGCTTTGAGGTATATGTGGAGTCAAAAAATGTTATCTATGGAGGCAAAGAAGGGAATGTATGAAAGTATAGTAGTACCAACACTCTTATATGGGTGTGAAGCTTGGGTTGTGAATGCAGCAGCGAGGAGGCAGTGGAGATGTCCTGTCTAAGGGCAATGTGCGGTGTAAATATTATGCAGAAAATTCGGAGTGTGGAAATTAGGAGAAGGTGTGGAGTTAAAAAAAATTTTAAATCAGGGGCAAAGGGGGGGGTTTTTGAGGTTTTTTGGTCATTTAGGGGGAAGGGATCAAAGTAAATGAATGGGGGCATTTAAATCTTAGGAGAAGGAAGGGGGGTAGGGGTACCCTAAAAAAGGGTTTGGAAAGGGAAGGGGGAAAGGGGGGTTTTTTGGGGCAAGGGGTTTGGCTTCCAGCATGCGGCATGAGCATATTCGATAGGAGTGAATGGGACGAATGGTTTTTTGGGACTTCGATCTTTTGGAGTTTGCGGGTAATATTTATGAAGGGTTCAGGGAAACCGGTTATTTTTATATAGCCGGACTTGAGTCCGGAAATGGGAAGTACAATGCCTGCACTCTAAAGGAGGGGGTTTTTTATATTAGCAGTTTGGGGGGAATGTGGGGATTTATACTATTGCTTCTAAATGTTGTGTTTGAGCACCCTGCAAAAAAAAAGTGATTTTTGTTTTGAGTGAGGTGAAAGTGTTGATGATGATAAAGTATTTTCTTTTTGGGGGTTTTTTTTTTTCTTTTTTGGGTCACCCTCCTCGGGGGGAGCGGCCGACTTTTGAAAAAAAAAATTAAATTTTAACAGTCCATTATGACACAAAACAATTCACAGCACTCTGTTATCTTGAGATTACATACAACAAAAATATTGGGATTTTATTCATTCCTTTAAATTTTCATAATAATTATTAATAAGTAAATATTTATATTACATCAACTTAAAAAAAATAAAAACATTATTTTTAAATTTAGGAAATTTTTTTGCAAGTCTTCATATACAATTTCTCAAACTACAGTAAAATTTCTGCTTTAACGTTTACAATGTATGGTGCCCAATTTGTTGCATCACTGTTTTATATACAGTACTGTACTTCATGTTGTATTGTGTAACAGCTATTTAATAAACAATATTTTCAGCGATCCACCTCACCAAATACAATATCCAAAGTACCAATGATGGCTACAATATCTGCCAACATGTGATTTTTTCCAACCATATCACATCCTGCAAGGTGAGCAAAGCCTGGTGCCTTAATCTTGCATCTGTTCAAAAAATAAAAGTTTTATATTAGTTTTTATACAAAGCTTATGAGGAGTCAAACAATATAAACATCACCTGCCATGCACATAATGCCTCTTCCATATTTTTGCAAGTATTGCCTGCATAAATACTGTAATTCCTCCCTTGGCATCTGCACTGTTGTTGGGTCTAGTCTAAGCAAATCAAGCTAAACCTTGCATTACCTGAGCAATGTCCGACAGCCAGTCTACTTGTTTTCCATCAACATAAAAATGGTACTCTATCAATTATTTTCACTTTAACAGAGTCTTATTTCATATTCACTGACAATTTTGGATGGGCATGAAACAATGGTTTTGTTACACAGAAAAAATACACAAATTTCTTCCAAGAGTTCACACTTAGTGATTTAAAAGAGAGGAGCTCACGACGACGTTTCGGTCTGACTTGGACCATTTACAAAGTCACAGTAACAAGAAGGAGAGCAGGATGGGTATATATAGGCAGGAGGTGGTATGGTAGTAATGGTCCAAGTCGGACCAAAACATCGTCGTAAGCTCCTCACTTCTATGTGCGGGTTATTTGTGTATCGTTCCAATCACGATATTGTACCCTTTTTTGTTATTAGTGATTTAAAGCCCTGGAGAATTCCAAAACATACCATTCCCATCAAAAATAGAGTTGTGTTAAAGGCATCAAACTGTATTGCATGACTACCATTCATTCATATTTTATTCTAATAAGAAATAGGTTACCAAATGTACACTTTCTCTATAAGCTACATAAAATCAGTACTGTGTACCTGTAAGGCCGTGATGATCCATCAGAGACAAGATACACACCAAATTCACCCTTAGGAGCTTCAACTACAGTGAATGTGGCACCTGGAGGTACTTGATAGCCCTGAGTGAACAACTTGAAGTGGTGAATAAGTGCCTCCATTGAGCCCTGAAAAGTAATTGGTACAAGTGCTACAGCCAACAAATCACAAAATATTCCTAAGCACGAACTTTAACAACCGCATGCATGAAATAATGCATTTTCAGAATGCCATCCAAGGGTCATATAGCCTAACATAACTGACACTCACAACTAAGTAGTAATAGTCTCATAATCTCAATTTCCATGAAATTCCTGATGATCCACTTCTTATAGGTCCATCATGATGAAAAATGTAATCCTTCATGATTATCATAACTATTATTACCTATACGTATATACTTACCAGTGTGTTTCTTCCCTCATGTATGTAAAGTATGCATGTTTGGCAAAGATATATTCATTCTTTTAACACATTTCTGTTTATCAGGGAGTAGCAGTTACACTCACATGATTGCCAAATGAACACGTGAAAAGCTTTTTGAGATGGTATGGGTACGTGTAGAATTTTTTTTTTTTTTAAACAAGTCGGCTGTCTGCCACCAAGGCAGGGTGACCCAAAAAGAAAGAAAATCCCCCAAAAAGAAAATATTTTCATCATCATTCAACACTTTCACCCCACTCACACATAATCACTGTTTTTCCAGAAGTGCTCAGAATACAACAGTTTAGAAGCATATACGTATAAAGATACACAACATGTCCCTCCAAACTGCTAATATCCCAAACCTCTCCTTTAACCCATAAACGGTCCAAATGTATATATATGTTCTCTCCCGTAGTGCCCCAATTTTTTTGAGAAAAAAAAAAAAAAAATTTTTAATAGGAAAAAAGAGCATATGGTACCCAGGCATCCCCAATTATTTTAATATGGCGCACAGTGAGTGCACACACCCATTCTCTCATGTCTAGGCGACTCAGGCTTATTGTGGCAATGTTGAATGTATGACAAATAAAACGTATATATACATTTGGGGCACTAGCGGTAAAAACGTATATATACGTTTGGACCGTTTACGGGTTAAAGTGCAGGTATTGTACTTTCCATTTCCAGGACTCATGTCTGGCTATATAAAAATAACCAGTTTCCCTGAAGCCCTTCACTAAATATTACACCTGCTCACACTCCAACAGCTCGTCAGGTCCCAAATACCATTCGTCTCCATTCACCCCTATCTAACACGCTCATGCACGCTTGCTGGAAGTCCAAGCCCCTCGCCCACAAAACCTCCTTTACCCCCTCCCTCCAACCTTTTCAAGGATGATCTCTACCCCGCTTCCCTCCCCTACAGATTTATATGCTCTCCATGTCATTCTACTTTGATCCATTCTCTCTAAATGACCAAACCACCTCAACAACCCCTCTTCATCCCTCTAATACTTTTATTAACTCCACACCTTCTCCTAATTTCCACACTCTGAATTTTCTGCATAATATTTACACCACACGCTGCCCTTAGACAGGACATCTCCACTGCCTCCGTCTCCTCGCTGAAGCATTTACAACCCAAGCTTCACAGCCATATAAGAGTGTTGATACCACTATACTTTCATACATTCCCTTCTTTGCCTCCATAGATAATGTTTTTTGTCTCCACATATACCTCAATGCATCACTCACCTTTTTTCCTTCATCAATTCTATGATTAACCTCATCCTTCATAAATCCATCTGCTGACACATCAACTCCCAAATATCTCAAAACATTCACTTCTTCCATACTCCTCCACTCCAATTTGATATCCAATTTTTCTTTATCTAAATCATTTGATACCCTCATCACCTTACTCTTTTCTATGTTCACTTTCAACTTTCTACCTTTACACACACTCCCAAACTCATCCACTAACCTTTGCAATTTTTCTTTAGAATTTCCCATAAGCACAGTATCATCAGCAAAAAGTAACTGTCAATTCCCATTTTGTATTTGATTCCCCATAATTTAATCCCACCCCTCTCCCGAACACCCTAGAATTTACATCTTTTACAACCCCATCTATAAATATATTAAACAATCATGGCGACATTACACATCCCTGTCTAAGACCTACTTTTACCGGGAAGTAGTCTCCCTCTCTTCTACACACTCTAACCTGAGCCTCACTATCCTCATAAAAACTCTTTACAGCATTTAGTAACTTACCACCTATTCCATATACTTGCAACATCTGCCACATTGCTCCCCTATCCACTCTATCATATGCCTTTTCTAAATCCATAAAAGCAATGAAAACTTCCCTACCTTTATCTAAATACTGTTCACATATATGCTTCAATGTAAACACTTGATCTACACATCCCCTACCCACTCTAAAGCCTCCTTGCTCATCCGCAATCCTACATTCTGTCTTACCTCTAATTCTTTCAATAATAACCCTACCGTACACTTTTCCTGGTATACTCAGTAAACTAATTCCTCTATAATTTTTACACTCTCTTTTGTCCCCCTTCCCTTTATATAAAGGAACTATATAAAGGAAATATCTATCTATAATGACAGCTGAGATACCCAAATAATTTTATATGAACGAATGAAGTTCATAAGAGTATAAAAAAAAGACACCAGAAAAACACTTTCTCACAATATTCTTGATTACTATCATTTTCACTTCCAATTTAATGTTTTCCAATACAAAATACATAGATACAGATCAATAAATTTAATAGATTTTACATTTAACAAATGAATCATTTAAATTGTGATGCCTGCACCTTGCTATCCATTTGTAGTTCTGGGGATTATCTTTCCCCAGGTACCTACTTACTGCTAGGTGAATAGGGGCAGCAGATGTAAGGAAACATGCCCAATGTTTCCACAGGTGCCAGAGATCATAGGACAGAAAGAAAAGATCAGTAATCCTGCCCCAATGAAATATGTTTAACAGATTTCCATTTCACACCTATATGACAAGACAGTAGTGCCTCCCTGGATGGTTGCTGTCTACCTACCTTGGTGAAAGACAGCCACTGTAGTAAAAAAAAAAAAAAAAAAAAAAAAAAAATCTAAAATTTGTATATAAAAGTTCAAAATACAAACCTTCATTTCAGCCCTAGATGGCGGAGCAACTTTAGCATCATCGACACGTACTTCTCCAGGTGGCATCTGATTCAGGCACTGCTCGATGATGCGCAGTGATTGTCGCATCTCCTCAACCCGAATTAAGTACCTAGGTGTACACCAAAATTTAGATAAAAACTAACAAATACATACCAATTTTTAATATAAAATAAGTTATGAGTGTATTATACAGTACCATACTGTATAAGATACAAAAATAAAAAAGTTGAGACAGATGCATGGTGATTTATATCACCATGAAAGCAAAAAAAACAGTGAAGATGTTAACCAAAAACAATGTCAAGTCCTAGCTGGCAACTCAATTAGATCTATCAAATTACTGTCTCTTCAGCTATCTAATGTCATTAAACAGAGCCTTAATGTATGTATGTATGTATGTATGTATGTATGTATGTATGTATGTATGTATGTATGTGTGTGTGTGTGTGTGTGTGTGTGTGTGTGTGTGTGTGTGTGTGTGTGTGTGTGTGTGTGTACGTACACTCACCTATTTGTGGTTGCAAGGGTCGAGTCATAGCTCCTGGCCCCACCTCTTCGCTGATTGCTACTAGGTCCTCTCTCTCCCTGCCCCATGACCTTTATCATACCTAGCCTTAAAACTATGTATGGTTCCCGCCTCCACTACGTCACTTTCTAGGCTATTCCACGGCCTGAGTACTCTATGACTGAAGAAATACTTCCTAACATCCCTTTGATTCATCTGAGTCTTCAACTTCCAATTGTGACCTCTTGTGTCTGTGTCCCTTCTCTGGAACATCCTGTCTTTGTCCACCCTGTCTATTCCGCGCAGTATTTTATATGTCATTATCATGTCTCCCCCGACCCTCCTGTCCTCCAGTGTCGTCAGGCCGATATCCCTCAACCTTTCTTCATAGGACAATCCCCGTAGCTTTAGGACTAGTCTTGTTGCCAACCTTTGCACTTTCTCTAATTTCTTGACGTGCTTGACTAGGTGTGGATTCCAAACTGGTGCTGCATACTCCAGTATGGGCCTGACATAAATGGTATACAGAGTCTTGAACGAATCCTTACTGAGGTATCGGAACGCTATCCGTAGGTTTGCCAGGCGCCCATATGCTGCAGCAATTATCTGATTGATGTGCGCCTCAAGAGATATGCTCAGTGTTATACTCACCCCCAGATCTTTTTCCTTGAGTGAGGTTTGCAGTCTTTGGCCATCTAAACTATATTGTGTCTGCGGTCTTCTTTGCCCTTCCCCAATCTTCATGACTTTGCATTTGGCAGGGTTAAACTCAAGGAGCCAGTTGCTGGACCAGGCTTGTAGCCTGTCCAGGTCTCTTTGTAGTCCTGCCTGATCCTCATCCGATTTGATTCTTCTCATTAACTTCACATCATCTGCAAACAAGGACACTTCTGAGTCTATCCCTTCCGTTATGTCGTTCACATATACCAAGAACAGCACAGGTCCTAGGACTGACCCCTGTGGAACCCCGCTTGTCACAGGCGCCCACTCTGATACCTCGTCACGTGTGTGTGTGTGTGTGTGTGTGTGTGTGTGTGTGTGTGTGTGTGTGTGGTGTGGTTGCGTGTGGTCTGGTGCGCGCGCACGCGTGCGTGCGTGCGTGCGTGCGTGCGTGCATGCGTGCGTGCTAGCCTGTTGGTATCAATTCTTAATGATGATACTGTGTATGAAAGTTTAAGTGTCAGTCAGTAAATCTTTATCCTTATTAAGTACAGAATTCCTGAAGGTGTAACTGTAGGCAGTTGTCTGGTTTTGGGCTTTGTGAGGTGCCAATTTGTTTTGAATTTTGTAGGTGTTAATTTGTCAATTTTTGTTAAGAAACTGGGATATTAGTACATGCTAATATTTAACAGCATTAGGAGCTTTTGCAGCATTCAGTATTAATCCTGATGTGTCCATTGAAGTAGAAGGAACTTGGCTTATATGAGAAGACCTTTCTCAGATTACACAGCAACAAAAACACATCTAGTTTCCAGTAATATTTTTCCATCCTTTCCTGGTATATGCCTTTCCAGCCTGAAAGTGGGACTTACACAAATGCTAATGAAAAAAAAAAAGAATTACCACAACAATATGATACTACAAGCTATTAGCCAAAAACTTGCTAAAATTTATCTTATGAAAACAATCTACTTTTAGTAACTACAGGTAAACCCTTAATATAATGGACTTTGGAAATACAGAACAAAATCTTATCAGTCAACTGATTTGGGAACAATGGACAAAGTCCACTGGTTAAAGAATTATCAGGTCTTGTTATTATCACAGCAAAACAATCTCTTCTCTAGCCACCACAATCACCATTACTGGCCATCCACACCTCCTTATTAGTCAGTTATACTAAGGGTTTACTCTATCATTTACCATACCTGTCATATGTGTCACCTTTTCTTCCCACTGGAACATCAAACTCGACTAGGTCATAAGCATCGTAACTCTGAGTTTTGCGCAAGTCCCACTTAACACCAGACCCTCTTAGCATCACACCACTGAAAAATTAAATAATTATTTCTGTAATAACTACCTATACATAATCTAAAATGGTTATAACTATGACCATAATTTTTAAAGGGGTGGATCAGTAAGCCAGCAGAAGGCCTTGGTCAGATGACCATAAGCTCCAATGGCAGGTCATCATCTGACTAAGACCCGCGTCAAGAAACTCTTATCCTGTTTCCTGACGAACCTTACCTAACCTAACCTACATATATATGATGTCAACTGGGAAAATTATAATATTTATAATGAATTTTGTTTGTTAATTTACTGACAATACTGAAAGCTTCCTAAAATGATGCTTTACACTATGAAAACAAGGTTTTTACAAGCCAGTTTATTATTAGGGTACAAAATGAATCTCAAACTTCAGTCTCCTACCTTAACTGATCATAAGGAAAAGTATAAAACAATTTTCAGGCAGCTCATTTATCTTCTTCATTTCAACACACAGGCTGTATCCCACTGAAGCAAGGTGACCAAGAAAGAAAAACAAAAGTTTCTCTTTTTAACTTTAGTAATGTATACAGGAGAAAAGGTTGCTAGCCCCTTGCTCCCAGGATGTTAGTCGTCTCTGACAACACACTGGCTTATGGAGGAAAAATTCTGGTCCACTTGCCTATGGAGATAAGAGGGAATAAACAAGAACTAGTAAGAAAATAGAAGAAAACCCAGAGGGGTGTGTATACATTTTTTTTTTTCAACAAATCGGCCGTATCCCACCAAGGCAGGGTGGCCCAAAAAGAAAAACAAAAGTTTCACTTTTCAAATTTAGTAATCTATACAGGAGAAGGGGTTACTAGCCCCTTGCTCCCGGCATTTTAGTCGCCTCTTACAACACAAATGGCTTACGGAGGAAGAATTCTGTTCCACTTCCCCATGGAAATAAGAGGAAATAAACAAGAACAAAAACTAGAAAGAAAATAGAAGAAAACCCAGAGGGGTGTGTATATGTTTGTACATGTATGTGTAGCGTGACCTAAGCGTAAGTAGAAGTAGCAAGACGTACCTGAAATCTTGCATGTTTATGAGACAGAAAAGAGGCACCAGCAATCCTACCATCATGTAAAACTATTACAGGCTTCTGTTTTACAATCACTTGGCAAGACAGTAGAATGTCCCAGGGCAGTTGCTGTCTACCAACTACTACCCAGGCAGTTTATATATATCTGACAGATATATTGCTATCTTTAAGACTATTCATTATGAAAAATAACTAAAAGTCATGAAAAGTAACTAAAAATTATGAAAAATAACTAAAAATTATCAAAAATAACAAAAATGATTAAAAATTATGAGAAATAGCTAAAAATTAGGAAAAATAACTGTAAATTACAAAACATAAATAAACATTACCAAAATATCACTCCATTTGAACTATTTTTTATGCTATTTAAGAATATGCACTTGAAAACATGAAGGGAGACCATTTTAGCATGACAAAAGGCTGTTTTCTCTAGTTTGATTTTTCCCTGTCCGAGTCTCCTTTTACAGCAGAATTATCTTGTAAAAACTCTCGTAACCTTCCATGAAAGCTGTATGCAGTGGACCCCCGCATAATGCTATTAATCCGTTCCTGAGAGCTCAATGTTATGCGAAATTATCGTTATGCGAATTAATTTTTCCCATAAGAAATAATGGAAATCAAATTAATCCGTGCAAGACACCCAAAAGTATGAAAAAAAAAAAAATTTTTACCACATGAAATACTAATTTTAATACACACAAACTTAAGAAAACATGCACAGTTACATGACACTTACCTTTATTGAAGATGTGGTGATGATTGATGGGATGGGAGGAGGGGAGACTGGATGGTTTTAGTGTTTAAAAAGGGAATCCCCTTCCATTAGGACTTGAGGTGTCAAGTCCTGCTATCTGTTTTTCGTTTATCCACACCAATAACAGTCTCTCAACATCTTCTATCACTTGCGATCTCTGTTTCGAAAGCACAGTTAAACCTTTGGCAAGAACAGCTTCCTTGATTGCTGTTCTCTTGGACACAATAGAAGCGATGGTTGATTGGGGTTTACTATACAACCTGGCCAGCTCGGAGACACGCACTCCACTTTCATACTTAGCAATGATCTCTTTCTTCATCTCCATAGTAATTCTCACCCTTATTCCTGTAGGGTTGGCACTAGAAGCTTTCTTGGGGCCCATGGTCACTTATTTTTCAGGTGAAAACACTATAAAAAGGCTGTAATAATACGAGATGTTCCAATTGTATGCTTGAATGTTACCACGGAGCCTGGCTTGTAAACAATGCCACTGGCAGAACAAGTGAGGCTGGCTCAGGCCGCATGGACGTGTCTCGGACGAATCGTGTTCAGCGAATTTTTTAGCACTATGCGAGGCAAAATTTTAGTGATAAAATGTATCGCTATGCGGATTTAACACTATGCGATGCCAACATTATGCGGGGGTCCACTGCATACAGGATTTTCAAGTTTGTGGGGAGTAACTGATCCAACAAACAGTGTCATCATGACCACTTTCCATTCTGAGAGAAAAAGTTTTTTGTCATTTTTCATCGGATTTTCAAAAGTGTACTTAAAATCACACCAGGGATACTATTTTCTATAATGATTCAGAATATACATTTAAAAATGTAAAATCAGATCATTTTATCATCATACAGGGCCCTCCTTTCCCAGATATTCCTAACATACGAAGCTAATACGTATTTTCATTAAGACTATTCATTACGGGAAATAACTAAAAATCATGAAAAATAACTAAAAATTAGGAAAATAATTAAAAATTATAAATAGCAAAAAATTACAAAATTATGAGAGATAACTAAAAATTAGTGAAATAACCATAAATTATAAAAAAAACTAAATATACAATATAAAAATATAAAATATAAAAATAACTAAGTGGTTGTTTAATATATTTATAGATGGGGTTTTAAAAGAAGTAAATGCTAGGGTGTTCGGGAGAGGGGTGGGATTAAATTATGGGGAATCAAATTCAAAATGGGAATTAACACAGTTACTTTTTGCTGATGATACTGTGCTTATGGGAGATTCTAAAGAAAAATTGCATAGGTTAGTGGATGAGTTTGGGAATGTGTGTAAAGGTAGAAAGTTGAAAGTGAACATAGAAAAGAGTAAGGTGATGAGGGTATCAAATGATTTAGATAAAGAAAAATTGGATATCAAATTGGGGAGGAGGAGTATGGAAGAAGTGAATGTTTTCAGATATTTGGGAGTTGATGTGTCGGCGGATGGATTTATGAAGGATGAGGTTAATCATAGAATTGATGAGGGAAGAAAGGTGAGTGGTGCGTTGAGGTATATGTGGAGTCAAAAAACGTTATCTATGGAGGCAAAGAAGGGAATGTATGAAAGTATAGTAGTACCAACACTCTTATATAGATGTGAAGCTTGGGTGGTAAATGCAGCAGCGAGGAGACGGTTGGAGGCAGTGGAGATGTCCTGTCTAAGGGCAATGTGTGGTGTAAATATTATGCAGAAAATTCGGAGTGTGGAAATTAGGAAAAGGTGTGGAGCTAATAAAAGTATTAGTCAAGAGGGCAGAAGAGGGGTTGTTGAGGTGGTTTGGTCATTTAGAGAGAATGGATCAAAGTAGAATGACATGGAAAGCATATAAATCTATAGGGGAAGAAAGGCGGGGTAGGGGTCATCCTCGAAAGGGTTGGAGAGAGGGGGTAAAGGAGGTTTTGTGGGCAAGGGGCTTGGACTTCCAGCAAGCGTGCGTGAGCATGTTAGATAGGGGTGAATGGAGACGAATGGTACTTGGGACCTGACGATTTGTTGGAGTGTGAGCAGGGTAATATTTAGTGAAGGGATTCAGGGAAACCGGTTATTTTCATATAGTCGGACTTGAGTCCTGGAAATGGGAAGTACAATGCCTGCACTCTAAAGGAGGGGTTTGGGATATTGGCAGTTTGGAGGGATATGTTATGTATCTTTATACATATATGCTTCTAAACTGTTGTATTCTGAGCACCTCTGCAAAAACAGTGATAATGTGTGAGTGTGGTGAAAGTGTTGAATGATGATGAAAGTATTTTCTTTTTGGGGATTTTCTTTCTTTTTTGGGTCACCCTGCCTCAGTGGGAGACAGCCGACTTGTTGAAAAAAAAAAAAACTAAAGATTACCAAAAAATCACCCCATATGAACTATTTTTGATGCCATTTAAGAATATACACTTGAAAACATAAGAGAGACCATTTTAGCATGACACAAGGCTGTTTTCTCTCGTCTGATTCTTCCCAAACTAGGGTGCCTTTTACGGCACACTTATATAAACTCTCATAACCTTCCATGAAAGCTGTATATACAGGATTTTTTCATGTTTCATGTTTGAGAGAGAAAGTTCTTTTTGCCCCCAAAAACCCCTGGTACATAATACAGCATTTTTTGCAATTTTCAACTGGATTTTCAAAATTACTTAAAATCACACCAGGGGTACTTTATTTTATGCTGATTCAGAATATAAACCTATAAATGTAAAATCATATCATTTTAGCATCATATGAGGCCCTCCTTTCCCAGTAATGCCTAATAGAGGAAGCTAATATTTTCATTAAAGGGCTCATATATTGTAGTGTAATAGGGATTTGCTCAACTGCATCTTCTAAATTTAAGTTTCAAAACGCAAACTTCCAAATCTAAAGTCTAGCAAGACACTTTCCTGGTATCAGTTTACATTAATACATACAGAATTGCAACACCTTCCTTATAATCCAACAAAGTCAAATGCCATACACAATATTTCTCCACTCTAGATTAACATACTCAGAAATAACTCCCAAATATTCAAGACCTTATTTCTCAGCACCCATTTCACATCAAGCCTCCTACTCTTCATCATACCCCATATACCACCTTCTATCACTCAAATATTTATAAACCCTCTTCACCCACCTTTGTTGCTCCATTCTCTCTACATAACCAAACCAATTCAACAACTCTTCCATCGATACAAGAAATGACATAAGAGATGCAGTAAAAGTCCATCCCATGCACAATGGCAATAAACTCATCACTGTGTTGTTTCTTGCACTATAAACTAAACATCTTATGACCCCACAATAATTTTAAAGAGAGTGTCTCATCTTGAGAATAACAACATACCTGAAGCCATAGTTAAGAGCTTCCTCAGCAGTCACAGTACCAATGTCAACTGTTCTTTGTTTCCAAATACGGTTGTTTGTGAGGACATCCTCTACCTCATCAAGGCGTTCACCAAACTTGCTGATGAAGTCATAAATGTCATCCATCAGGCCAATTGGGAGGTCCTATTTAAAACAATGAAAATGCAAGACTGACAATGTGTGTTTATGATGTAAAAAGTAATTATCAAGCCCAGGTATGCACAACTTTCTTTTCATGAGGGCAGACAAATAACATGAGCAAGCAGGTGAAATATTAGATTGATAATTCAGTGTAAACAGTAAGATAAGAATTGTAAAGCTTATATAATTTACTGGTAATGACATAATTACACAACTCCTGGTGTAGATAAAATAGAAATCAGTACAGTATAATGTAAAGTCTAAAAACAACAACTTTTGAGATTTCCTAAACTCACAGAAAATAAAATAGTTTTAGATGATTTTTTAATATAAGTATTATTGTCCCTCTACCATAAAAAATTGTAAAAAAAAAAAAAAAAAAATTAGCTTCCAGGGTGCTTTACATTTATGAGGTTATGCTCATCTAATTTATTGTTAAGTGTTCTCTGATAATTTAATATGGAGGTCAAGGTATTAAGATAAAGTGTCTTTAGGATTGCTCTCTTTGAATAAGAAAAATTCAGATACTTTCACTCAAATACAGTACCATGCACACTTGTAAAGGATACTTATTATGGATGATTCCAATCACAAAGCAGATTGGGAGACCTGGGATATAAATGGGATAGAGAAAACTTTTTGAGTTTGTGTAAGTGGATTTGCTATCGAGTGAAGTTTTATTTCTATCAGCAGTTCCATTTACGTGATAAACAAAAGTTGTATGCAACTGGTAAAGCTAAAGGCATGCCCACAGCCCGGCATGCCTTTAGAGAATAGAACAAGCGATACTGTAAAATGAGATTTTAAAGAAAATATTCAAGAGAATTTTATGAAATACAGTACTGCATTCCACTGCATTTATGTACTTAGAAAAGGCATATGATAAAGTGGATAGGGGAGCAATGTGGCAGGTGTTGAAAGTATATGGAATAGGTGGTAGATTACTGAAAGCATTAAAGAGTTTATATGAGGATAGTGAGACTTGGGTTAGGGTATGTAGGCGAGAAGATTATTTTTCTGTAAAAATAAACCTTAGATAGGGAGTCATGATGGTTTTTGAACATATTTATAGATGGGGTTGTAAAGGAAGTGAATGTTAGTGTTATTTATTTTATTTATTATCACACTGGCCGATTCCCACCAAGGCAGGGTGGCCCGAAAAAGAAAAACTTTCACCATCATTCACTCCATCACTGTCTTGCCAGAAGGGTGCTTTACACTACAGTTTTTAAACTGCAACATTAACACCCCTCCTTCAGAGTGCAGGCACTGTACTTCCCATCTCCAGGACTCGAGTCCGGCCTGCCGGTTTCCCTGAACCCCTTCATAAATGTTACTTTGCTCACACTCCAACAGCACGTCAAGTATTAAAAACCATTTGTCTCCATTCACTCCTACCAAACACGCTCACGCATGCCTGCTGGAAGTCCAAGCACCTCGCACACAAAACCTCCTTTACCCCCTCCCTCCAACCTTTCCTAGGCCGACCCCTACCCCGCCTTCCTTCCACTACAGACTGATACACTCTTGAAGTTATTCTGTTTCGCTCCATTCTCTCCACATGTCCGAACCACCTCAACAACCCTTCCTCAGCCCTCTGGACAACAGCTTTGGTAATCCCGCACCTCCTCCTAACTTCCAAACTACGAATTCTCTGCATTATATTCACACCACACATTGCTCTCAGACATGACATCTCCACTGCCTCCAGCCTTCTCCGCTGCAACATTCATCACCCATGCTTCACACCCATATAAGAGCGTTGGTTAAAACTATACTCTCATACATTCCCTTCTTTGCCTCCAAGGACAAAGTTCTTTGTCTCCACAGACTCCTAAGTGCACCACTCACCCTTTTCCCCTCATCAATTCTATGATTCACCTCATCTTTCATAGACCCATCCACTGACACGTCCACTCCCAAATATCTGAATACATTCACCTCCATACTCTCTCCCTCCAATCTGATATCCAATCTTTCATCACCTAATCTTTTTGTTATCCTCATAACCTTACTCTTTCCTGTATTCACTTTCAATTTTCTTCTTTTGCACACCCTACCAAATTCATCCACCAATCTCTGCAACTTCTCTTCAGAATCTCCCAAGAGCACAGTGTCATCAGCAAAGAGCAGCTGTGACAACTCCCACTTTGTGTGTGATTCTTTATCTTTTAACTCCACGCCTCTTGCCAAGACCCTCGCATTTACTTCTCTTACAACCCCATCTATAAATATATTAAACAACCACGGTGACATCACACATCCTTGTCTAAGGCCTACTTTTACTGGGAAATAATTTCCCTCTTTCCTACATACTCTAACTTGAGCCTCACTATCCTCGTAAAAACTCTTTACTGCTTTCAGTAACCTACCTCCTACACCATACACCTGCAACATCTGCCACATTGCCCCCCTAACCACCCTGTCATACGCCTTTTCCAAATCCATAAATGCCACAAAGACCTCTTTAGCCTTATCTAAATACTGTTCACTTATATGTTTCACTGTAAACACATATCATTTAGGTATGCATACTGTTTACGGAGCCTGTCGTAGGTCCAAATCTTCAGTAACCGAGTACATCGCTAAGTGAGGAGAGGCTGTATTGGCTAATTTTGTGGTATCGGTATATTAGTCTAAAACCGAGTATCAGTATTGACAAACATTTTGGTATTGTCTCATTACTAGATGAACTACTGTATACATAATAAAACAAGAAAAAAATTCTTACAATGGCAACACCTCCTGGTCGAACATATGCAGCATGAAGACGAGCCCCAGATGCTCGCTCATAAAATTCCATCATCTTCTCACGTTCTTCAAACAACCACAAAAATGGAGTAAGTGCGCCAATATCCAATGCATGAGTTCCCAAGAACATGCAGTGGTTCAAGATACGTGTAAGTTCAGCAAACATAGCTGAAAGTTAATGCATTATATATAGTTTAATAGAGAGAGAATACATGTACATTCATTAGCTGAAATTTAAAAATACAATGTTTCCCTGTATTTACAATAAGGAAATTCATCACAAAAACTTACAAACAGGAAATGAAAATTGTACAATGCTTAAGCTGAATCATCATCCATGTTCATTATGAATTTGTGGGATTACAGAATTGAAACCTGCTCTAGCCACAGTTTTGTGACATCAACTAAAAGTACATAGGAATAAAATCTAAACAATTATAAGCTCTGGTGGTGAAAAAAAAACAAAAAAACAAAGCTATTAGAAGTTTCAGACATTCCTGGCACTTCACATAGTACTGTAGTTGCCTCCTGCCTTCACAATTTTACAATTTCTAATGAAATCCTGTTTTCTATAACCCCCCCACTCAAGAGTATCCCAACACACTCTTTTCAGAATAGACCAGTCTCTGACTGTCCACATTCCCAGTTTAGATCACTACTGTCTGTATTAGGCCCAATTATTTCTCTAGAGTGTAAGGGTTAATTATACAAATAAGGTTACACTAGGGACATGATAGGGTATCTTGCATGGATAACTGCAAACCAACCTAACAAGGCTCACTTGTACACAAGTATCTCCCTGTTTAACATATCTGGTTTAAAAGAGAATTAAACAAACCCTTACACAGAATCACCAGAATTTAGTACAAGTATTCATGTTCTGAGTCACCATGAAAACTATTACACAAGCAAGACATACGTACTGCTGAGGAATCCATCTCTGAAATGAGATCTTATCAGACAGTTCTCATTAGTTACTTATGCCACTTTGTTGTCAATGGATACACTGGCCTGAGTATCACAGCCCAAACTAGACACAGACTGTTAGATTTATACATATGATATTATGCATAGATTGTTCTACTAAATTTAATGACTATATTTAGCATTAAAATAATAAATTCCTTCATTAAAATGAAGATCATGAGATATAGTAATGAATACAAGCAAAATAGGAACCAAAGAAATAGGTGAGCAATCTTTAAGAAATATTCTAAAAACAAAATATATTTATATGAAGTACAGTCATCTCTACAAATTCATGTGTTAACATATTTTCATTATGAAACTTTTTACTGTATTATGGCAACCAGCAGAGATTCAACTATCCAACATTTTTCAGGCTCATTTGCTTTCCATACTCAAATCTCTTACTCTGGTTCTCATTTTTTTTATGAATGTCAATATTAACCAGATCAGTTATACATGCTTTTACAGAGATATGGTCTCAAACACAAAATGAACCCACATCTGAGACAAAAATCTGTTATGCAGACTTAATTTTGTATTATTCGTGTATAATTCATGTAGAAACAGCCCCAGCTAATTTGAAGTAACAGCTGTACTAAAAACTCCCCTTTTAGTTGGGAATAATAATTGCCAAGAAATTAAAAACTTACTGCGAATATATTTTGCTCTGATTGGAACTTCCAGGCCCAGAAGCTTTTCCACAGCCAGAGAGAAAGCTTGCTCATTGCACATCATAGATACATAATCTAGACGATCAAAATAAGGCAGGGCCTGTGTGTAAGTCTTGTATTCAATAAGCTTCTCTGTCCCACGGTGCAGTAAACCTATATGAGGATCAGCACGAACCACAGTCTGTCAACGAAGTATTTGACATTTCAATTTCAATGCAATATAACCATTCATTGTGTTTAAAGCAAGGCGTAAATAAATACACACTACATTACAACCACTACACAATTTTAGATAACCAATAAAAGAATGAGAGGGACGAACAGAAATTATGTCTTGTAACCAACAGGAGCATTACAAGCACATTTTCCAGCTCAAGGGTTTGAAACAATATTCGAGGAAATTCAATGGAGAGCCACTTTTAGGAACAAAGACTATGGCAGCAATCAAAGATTCATCTATATGGATTATAAGATGTGCCATATATTTATAATGTGGTAGTATATCATAGGTAGTTTGAAATTGGCTGGACTAATGTTAAAATGCAAACCAGAATGGCTATCCAAACACATTAACTAAAGTTATCACTACTCATGTTGGAATGTGCACCAAGAGATGCACCACCATTCAAGAAATTAAAGTGCAATACTTTCAACTTGTACAAACTCTTGTATGGAGTAGGGTTTGACATTTACATGGTTTGCAGACTTGCAGTACTTTAAAGCATACCATATGCTGGGTATAAAGAGCATTAGGAAGATACAGGACTGATTTTCAATAGTAAATATGATTCTACCTTTTCACACATTAATCCAAAGAAGTTTCACTGGTGTATAAAAAAAAATAAGCACCCTCCTCGGCAGTGCGTGGGATGGTTATGGGGTATGAGAGTATGAGGCGTGTGCATGTCGCTGATTTTATGCAGCATGTATCTCAAATCCAACCACTTTTTTTCTATTACTGTTCTTACAGAGGGAAAATAGTGCAAAATGATGGAAAAAAAAAATGCAGTAGGATGGAATCCTATATTGGTAACTTTTCACATACACAATGGGCTTTATTAAGTCAGAAAAAGATCTTCTTGTGACTTTATAAATTTACCCCACTGTGTGGATGAAACTCTCTCAATAAAAGATCACATCACACAGCATTTGTGTTCCTTTTGTTACTGTATTATGTATAATAAACATACAAGTGTTTCTACCAATTAACAATACTGTGCAGTATTTTTAAGCCCAATAATGAAGGCAACAAATAATAATAATAATAATAATAATAATATTATAATAACTGTAAATATAATAAACAGGATGGCTAGGAGGTCGTAAGTGCATGACATATCTGCACACACTTTAATACTGCAATAAATAATAAATGACATTTAATAAGTAATAATTTGTGACATTAGTAGCTCAAACCTGAATCTATATCTACCTTGTGGCCACCATGTACATATGGATTAAGTAATAATACACAGCAGAAGTTCAATTTATGCTTCTTTTATACACCTACTGGAGTGTGTATTTATCAGCCGCACTGTGTGAATTCAGGCCCACAATGTTTCTATTTCACAACTAATAATTCTGAAAAATAATAACAGAAGTAACAATAATGATTATAATAAATAGCTATACCAGGCATAGGAGCCAACAATCTAATTACTCACCTCACCATCCAACTCTAGCACCAGCCGCAACACGCCATGGGCAGCTGGATGCTGGGGTCCAAAATTAATAGTCACATTGCGAACTTTTTTCTCTACAGGTGCTAACCTGCCATTCCAGGAAGGTATTTCCAATTTCATGCCTTCATAAGGCATCATCACAGGTCCAGAAAACTGCTTGAACCATTCTGCATCGGGGTACCACTTGGCTCCGCCTCTCACAGGGCTGAAATATATTAAAAATTAATGTTTAACTCAAATTCTTATACAGGTAATGCTTGAGTTTCATTATCCCATGTAAAATTAGGTTGGATTAGCCTGACTGGCATATTTTTTTTTTTTTTTAATTTTGAATTAGAATTTCAGATGTCTAGCCTTAACATTTTATTTTAAATAAAAGTACTGAAACAAGGTTCAGAAAGGTAGAAAATAGTCAATAACTAAATCAGCTAAAATTAAATAATGTGGTTACTTGAAGATTTACCTTCCTTCCTAATATATAGGTTAGGTAAATATAAGAAAGGTTAACTCAATATTTGAAGACAATTCGGCAACAAACACACACAACAGTGTATAAGTATTCACAATAATGCTAATATAATTCTTGGCTTTTTATCAAGGTTTTAGCTACCTCTTATGATTATAATCATAATAATAAAAACCTGAAAACATTATTATTACAGACTTATTTCCACTTAATAAAATGCACAACCACTATGCATAATAACCATGACTGACAAAGATACAACGATATATCTTCACTGTTAAAAAACAAAAATGGGTTTTGACTTGGAAGTAATGTATAGACCAAGCTGATCGCGTCTAGTTGTGAGGCTCCTAGAATGCTACTACCTCGTATATACCACTGGAAAATAAGCCGAGCATGTTTCTTCGGAGGCATTTGAGCCAACAGAGGCATGCAGTACACCAATTTATTGAAATATTGGCCAAGACAGCAGCCAGTGTCCCCGTGTGGCCGGCCATTCACAACAAACACAGTCTTCATAAAAACTACTCAAGAGGTTCCTTGATGTTGGGAGGGGTCTTATTTAGGAAATTGATCTGTGCCCAGTTCCGAATAAGCCTGATGCCTTCCCACCCCCCCCTTTCCAGGCGCTGTATAATCCTCCGTTAGCGTTCCCCTTGATTAAATAAATAATAATTCATAAAAACTAATATTAAGGAAAAAGGCAAATAACTAACTAATTAATTAACTATATATATGTGTGTGTGTATACAGTAAGTAGGGATATAAAATGGGGTTATAATTGTAACCATAATTTTTTAAGGGGTGGACCAGTAAGCCAGCGGAAGGCCTCGGTCAGATGACCAAAAGCTCCAGCTACTGGTCATTATATGACAGACCCGCGTTAAGAAACATTTGTCCTGTGTCCTGACAAACCCACCTAACCTAATATATACAGTAGTGTGCAAATCGAGACAGGAGTATTATTATTATTATTATTATCAAGGGGAAGCGCTAAACCCGTGGGATTATACAGGGCCTGTGGGGGGGATGTGGAAGGCATTCAGGTTTAATTCAAGGAACTGGAGCACAGGTCCACTTCCCTAGATCAAGTACCCCGGTGGCCCGGTGGCCTTTTGGCTAAAGCTCCCGCTTCACACACAGAGGGCCCGGGTTCGATTCCCGGCGGGTGGAAACATTTCGACGCGTTTCCTTACACTTGTTGTCCTGTTCACCTAGCAGCAAATAGGTACCTGGGTGTTAGTCGACTGGTGTGGGTCGCATCCTGGGGGGACAAGATTGAGGACCACAATGGAAACAAGTTAGACGGTCCTCGATGACGCATTGACTTTCCTGGGTGGCTGACCCTCCGGGGTTAAAAATCCAAAGAAAATCTTATCTCACCAGCGTCATGGAACCTTCCTTGAGGGGAGAGACAGGAGTAAATTTGGTGATTATCTTACAATATGTCTCAGTCTCCAGCTTAATTAACGTAGTTAGGGTTCTTTTCTTTTCAGAAGAGTTTGCTACCAACTTCTGGGAACCATCCAGCTGTAGTGTTACACTGTGTCTCGTCAGTGCTACAACAGCTGTTGTTCTGTAAGGTTGTTCTTGCACGCCTGCTCCATGAATGAATGTGGTTTTTGCCAAATTCTCCCTTTCAGTTCATCATTGCTGCTGAAATTCACGATGGCTGTTAAATCTATGAAGCGTACAAGTATTTATCTCTTAGAAAACATGCTGATTTGAGTAGAAGACAGATTACCGAAAATCTGAGCCTAGCAAAATTAACTGCTGGTGAGATTCTGAAGAGAGATGACAAACTGATGACTGGAGCGTTGAGTTGAGGAAGATGTGGAAGACAATGACAAAGCTATCATAAGAAATAGTGTGAAGGATCCCATGAAACCCAGCAAAGATCTGCAGAGATTTGGCTTCAGCTGGTGTAAATGTTGATTTTTCAAGTGTTCAACGAAGGCTCCTTGAAGTCGGCAGAACTGCCAGAAAGCCGGGAAAAGAACAATTGTTGACTGCTGCTATGAAGAAATGACTGCGGTGGTCACTCGATCGAGAGGAATGGACGACAGATGAATGGAGAATTTATATTTTCAGATGAGGCGTATTTTGATGTACACTGTACATGGGTACAGATCAGTGGTAGTGAGACGAAGCAAAGGTAAACCTCTTCGGAATGAACACATTCAACAAGCGCCGAAACACTCTCCTAAGATGTTTTGGGGGTGATTTTTACTGCTACAATGCCTAGACGGCTTGTTTTTATTGAGGGAACGATGGACAATGACAAATACAAGGCAATCCTGGAAACTCATTTGCTTCCCATGTTGATAGAGACTTTCCTAATGGAGAAGGCATTTTCCAACAGAAAAATGTTGACATTCTTCGAAGAAAATGTCGGCTATGCATTCTCAACTGTCCTGGAATAATGATCCCAATCCAGGTGAGAATCTATGGGCAATAACGAAACGCAGGATCACCAAAACAGGACTGTTCAACTGTGGAGAAGGTAATTGCTGATGTTATTAGGACCTGGTAACACGGTGAAGAACTTGCCAAAATGTGTCATCATTGGTGGATACTATGTCAAAGCATGTAGCAGTGTTTATAAAAGTTAAGAGTAGTCATATCTCTTATTAAATCTATTATCTGTCATACCTTTTCCGTGTATTTTTCAAATAAACGTTAATTTTCTAAATAAATGTCTTATAACTGTCCCAATTAATATACATACGTAAAGCAACTATGGGGAGAGTTAAATAACTATCAATCAACCCCCCTGTGTTTGTTTTACATCTTGTATATTTGATGGCGAAAGTGCTTCTTTTTCAGGTCACCTTGCCTCGGTGGGAGACTGGCCGGGAATCGAAACCCCGATATTTTAGCACTCCAGCCCGGGAAGCCCACCCGACTGATATTCCAAACGGGAGGAGAATGAAATTAATCCTGTAGCTTCCATGGCCACGTATGAGCTAACATCATTTATTGACATGTCCAGTGATACTTGGCACCTGACGTCTGAAGCACTGATGGCCAAGTGGACTAAGTAAATCGATGGACGACGTATTTACTTCAGTTTACCCCTACATCCTCACAAAGAACTAGCGCAGTATTTAAAGCAGAAAATGAAAATATATTACGTAAACTTAAGTATTGTGATTGAATGATTAACAATGCATCGTTGAAATATCAGGGAAGAAAATAACTTACAATTTCTTGTAGAAGTCGCTTCAGAAATAACATGTGTCATGGAACTGGGAAGATGGTATGTTTTCTCTGTGGAAAGTTACGGAAGAAACAAGGACCACTTTAACATATAAAACAAACATAGCCAGAAGTTTTTCGTCTGACATTTAATTTTGGTAGGTCCTGGGCACGGTACGTACTTGGTCTATTGGATAATACGGCCTTGCTTACACAGTGACCATGTTTGTAGACACCTGAGACTAGTGAGTTACTGTAAGTGTTTAAGTGTCTCACAGTCACCATATTTGTGGACACCCGAGTCTAGTAAGCTAAGATTTAAGACAGGATAAGGTAAGATTTTGTTTTTGCTTTTTAACTCTGAGAGTTATGCACCCAGGATGGCCTAGTAAAGTCAGTGTATCATCAGGGAGTGTTTTATTTTCATTGTGGTCCATTAATCCTCTCCTCCAGGATGCCACCCACAACCAGGCTGGATTAACTTTTTGTAGGCCTCTGGGCTACTGTGAGGCCCCCTGTAATATTTTCAAAAGGAAAAAAGTTAAAAGAAATATTGAATTTATTTTTATAACAGCCAACAGTTCATCATATACGTGATGTAATAACATAATAATAATAATAATAATAATAATAATAATAATAATAATAATAATAATAATAATAATAATAATAATAATATCTTTATTTCTACAAGTACATGTACAAGGTATACAGGTCTAGCTGACATCAATGACATACTACAATATAGAAAGTCGCTTGTTATGCAAAACATCTCGAGCAAATTAGGTCAAGTTTGTCCCAGGATGCGACCCACACCAGTCGACTGATACCCAGGTGCCCACTTTACTGAAGGGTGAACATAGACAACCGGTGTAAGGAAACACGCCCAATGCTTCTACCCTCGCCGGGACTCGAACCGAGACATCACCGTGTGAAGCAAGAGCTTTCGCCACCAGGCCACGGGTCACACTATAATTATAAAGTAAGTTTATTCAGGTACAGGAGCACACAAATACGATTACATAAATTATCATACATAGCAGCATATGTGTAGATTACCCCTCCAGGATGACCCAAAAATATCAAAGTTACTTATTTCCATTGGGATCCTTGTAATAACTTATTATTTAAACCTTAAAAGTTAAAACAGGTAAATAGCTATGTGAAAAGCATTTAAAAGGAGATAATGTTGCAGCACTAACTGTGAACACTTCTCACTTAATCTCTGAAGGTTCTCCAGCTGGCGGAGGACCCTGGGCTGCAGCACATGTCTTAATCCAGCCCGGTGCACAACACTCCACTAACACCTAGGTACCCACGTGGTGCTGGAAAACCTCATGCACCAACATGTTAAGGACACTACCAGAGTGAGAGGGAAGGATGAACCAGCAAGACTGGACCTTGTGTTCACCCTGGGCAGCTCAGACATTGAGGACATCAAGTATGAGAGTCCCCTAGGAGCTAGCGACCACGTGGTTCTGTGCTTTGAATACAAAGTAGAGCTGCAAGTGGAGAGAATAACAGGAGTTGAATGGGAAAAGCCTGACTA